TCTCACTTTCGCGATGAGAAATCTATTGTTTTTCCCTACGATATTTTTCAGAGGTATGCATGTGTATCGATGTTTTCTTTTCCCTATATGGTTATAGCGGGGTGTTTATTTGCAATCTGGATCACCGTCGGTATGAAAAAAAGGATCTTGCGCTATGAATTTTAAATTTGCTTCCATAACAATATTTTAAAAATATTTAACAGGTAAAATTAACATCATATTTAGATTCCACACATTTTTCTAATAAAATTTCATATATAATATGTTAAAATCAAAGTTACGGTTTAAAAGATACAGATAATTTAGAAAATCATTTGGTTTGACTCAAATATATTTAAAAATACTTAACAGATAAAAATAATCTCATATTCATATTCTACATATTTTTCTAATCAAATTTCATATATAATATGTTCAAATCGGAGTTATGGTTTAAAAGATATGGATGATTTTAAAAAGTATTTGATTGACTTAAATATGATCCGCGGATGAATTACCTAAAATATCAGGGGGGTTCGAAAAATGTAAAATAACGGTTCGGGTGTGATTTAAATCCGGACGACGGGTTGATCTCAAAAAAAGATAGGGACTTTTGCGTAAAATACGAAAATAACGATTTGTTTTAACTTAAAACATGACTGCGGGTTGAATTCTCTGAAATAAAAGGACTTTTTAAAAAAATGTTATGACGGACGAAAAAAACCTAGTTTGCTTTATTATTAGATAAAGATAAATATTAAAATTGTGTGACGTACGACATGACAAGGTTTTCTATGTACCAGGTTTTTAAGAGGTGAACATATTTCATTTAGGACCCCGATAACTCCCGACTGTTGGGAGACTCACATCCCAAACGAGTCGTTCGCTAAGGGTAAGTGATCCATTCCATTTGGTGGGAGAGACCCCAGCGCGAACCCTGTGGCACTACGAGCCTTTTTAAATGGGCCTCCCCTCAATCAAATGCCATCATTAATCCAGAAAAAAGACATTAAAAATGCCCAGTTTCCTCTGGGCTACTTTCAAGCCTTATTAAATCCAGAATTTGGACTTGATTTTTATTACAATTTCTTTTTTAGTTACCAGAATGTGTAATGAACTGCCATCATGTTCAAATGTATCAGAACTTGATGAAAAAAATATTTGGCATGTGATGTCCATGTAAATTGCCGTGGTATACAAAAAGAAATTACCACGCTTTATTCCACAAATTTATCATGTTTCAAAAAATAATGTAGAAACAAACAGAATTTATTATAGTTGCCATGGTTGAAACAATAAAAATGTCATGGCTGCAGGAAGTTACATGATATAATTTTGCTATGGTCTAAAAATACAAAAAAAAAATAGCCATTGTTCAAACAAGAAGAAAATAATTGCCATGGTTGAAAAGAAATCTACCATGGTGCAAACAATAAAGTTGCCACGGTTCATTTTTTTGCCATGTATGAAATATGAATTTACCATGGTCGAAACAATAAAATGCCATGGTCATAGAAACAATTTTCCATGGTCCATGATATAATTTTGCCATGCTCTAAAATAAATAAAAAACATCCATGGTCCAAACAAAAATAATAATTTCCTTGGTTGAAAAGGAAATATGCCATGGTGCAAACAATAAAGTTGCCATGATTAACAAAAAATGTTGCCATGGTTCAAACAATAAGAATGCCATGGTCGTAGAAATAATTTTTTCATGGTTAGGGAAGAAAATTTGCATTGGAAAATAAAATAAAAATTTTCATGTATTTTAATTGGAATGTGGGAATAAAAATGTTTGAACTTGCCATGCCAACACATCTTAAAGTTGCCATGGAAAGCATTATATGGCGTGTGAAAGACTCATAACTTGTCCGGGAAACACAACTTAATTTGCCATGGCAAAAACACATCTTAAATTGGCATGGCAAATATATATTTTTTGGTTTCATGTCAAAACACACCGTAAAAAGCATCTAAACTTGCCATGGCAACATATCTTAATTGCCATGGCAAGTGTTAAATTGGCGTGTGAATCGAACTCCAAATTGCCATGGCAAAACACATCTTAAATTGCCAAGGTAAAAAAGTGTTTTTTTTATTTTCATGTGAAAACACACCGTAAAAAAAAAATCTAAACTTGCCATGGCAACATATCTTAAAATTTGCATGGCAAGTATTCGTTGGCGTGTGATAGTGTATTTTAGTTTCACGTCAAAACACACCATAAAAATCATCTAAACTTGACATGGCAACATATCTTAAAAGTTGCCATGGCAAGTGTTAATTGGCATGTGAATGAACTCGAAATTGTCATGGCAAATAGTGTATGTTAGTTTCATGTCAAAGCACACCGTAAAAAACATCTAAATTTTCTATGGCAGGGACGGAGGTGTGAATCGATGAAATGGGTGTGTGTGGGGGTGTTTTTACATGAAATTTTGATTTTCAATCTTGGAAAGGGCCATGACTCCCGCTCGCCCTCCCCCCTCCCCAAACCCACTAAGCCCCGTCACTAGTTGTATCCCTCCTCACGAAGTCATGCATGCCACACATGTTTGTCAAAATGCCTCAAAACCGCTAGGTTGCTACAAATTATTTTGATTTTGAGGTGCAAAAATAATGTGATAGAGGCTAAGGTGTCCCGATGTTTCGATGAGATGGTGGCTATCGTTTTCTGTGGGAGTCGACCTTCACGATCCGACTACGAACGTGGGAGACGTCGCGCCTTAGCAATCGCTAAACCAACTTCCGAGGGTTATTGACCACGCCGAAGCACGATCAACCTGACCACGAGGGTCTGTTTCCTGCGAGCAAACGAAGAACAAGCAAGAAACTGAGATTGCAATCGGGATATTGCGAATATAAGATGAAAGATTTATTGATCAAGGTGGGGTTCTGTGACATCTTGGTCTGGTCGTTGGACACAAACGAAGTACGCGAAGTTGCAGCTATGGCGAACTTTTAATCTAAACAAAACCCAAAGTCTAAACGACGCCCTAAGGGCTGTATATATGGAGGAAGAGGGGGGAATTTCGTGGCCCTTGAGGGTGGGGTCCGAAACCAACCCTAACTCTTGTTTTCCCACACATACGGACTCTAAAAATAGCCTATACTTAAGTATTTCGAAATTACATGGGCCTGGCCCATTAATAAGGTGACGCAGCACCTAGAATAGCCTATGGACGAATATTATGAAGTGGCATCTTGTATATCTCGTCCAAGGCTTCATGCACTCCTTATGGCGGCTTCAAAGTCCTGAAATCATCACTTGTAACTCCATTCTTGATCCCCTTGCGCATGCCATCAACTCCATGTGTGTTCTTGCTCCAATGTTCATCCTTCTCCAAGCTAGGCCCTTCACTTGTAAGCAAAACAAATGTATCCAATTTAGGCAGCATCATAATCTCATGAATATTAGAATCATTACCAAGAAACGAAAGTACCTGGTAATTTAACTGGCGTGCGCAAGCTCTAGTAATTGGTCCAGTATATGTAACAGTAGGGGCTGTGGGTGTAACAATGGTATTGATGTCCTCATCATAATGTTTCATAAATACATGTCTTTTAGTTTCTACGCAGCAACGCACGAGGATAATTAAATATCTTAACACGAGCAGAGAATGTATCGGAGACAATGTGGGACGTCGAGATGACACGGTGGATTATACTCCCTTCGTCCGGAATTAGTTATCGCTCAAATGGATGTATCTAGTGTATACATCCATTTGAGCGACAAGTAATTCTGGACGAAGGAAGTATTATTTAAGGAAAAAAGTACAAAAAAATATCATGATCTAGGACAGCTGTCCTCGCTCTATGAAAAGACCATAAGAAAACTTAGAAGTACATCTCATCCCACAAGACAATACTTATAAATTGGATCCGCCACCACTCGCTTCGTCGTTCTACCATCTTCGAGGAGAGAGCGAAAATAAGAAGAGTAGCAATTGTGTCGCCCACATAGGCCTATAGATGTAAACCCCTTGTTGATGTTGCCGCAGTAGCCGCCTGCCGTGTATGATGGGACATGGGGACGGTGCCAAATCGACGGGGTGCGAGCCTCGATTTATGTCGATAGTCAAGCTAGTGTCACCGGCGAGAACTCGTGACCTAGTCCGTGATCGCCCGTGCGTGGGAACAACTTGCACAAAAGACGATGCCGCCAACGGCAAGCAAAAAACCAAACCAACACCAGCCAATGTGGAAGCACACGTCCGACGATGACACTGGCCCAAAGGCTTCTAGACGTCATTGACCATGTCGCCAAGATAGGGTTGAAGCTGGGGCGCCGTTATTTAAAGCAACGTCACCACCTCCATCCGAACAACGTCATCATGGAACCAAAACCTAATCCAAACAACATACCAAACACGTAAAACTAAGGTTCCCCCTCTCTCGCCGCTGGTGAAGCAGATAGAGGGGAGGGAAACCACCGACCTTGACAACGGGAGGAGGTAGAGATTCGGAGAGGGGAGGGATTTGAGGGTACCGGCTAGGTGAGAGTTGAGATGGATTGCTGCTCCTCTTGTGCTTTGATGCTTTTATGAGTTTTCTTAGGGGTTGTGTCCTGCTTAGAGAAACGAGGCGACAGTGGCTCTGTGAAGATGGAATAAGGTACTCCCCGCCTAGCTCCCGTCCCAGTGGTGCTTCTAGCGTCATCGGAGGGCATGTGGTGGTTTGTCTCCGGTGGATCTCGCGGGATTCGGTCGACATTTGTCTTCGGTGGATACACATGGATTCGGTATTTGTTTGTGTGTCTACAGGTGGAGTCCTTCTGATCTAAATTTCTCTTCAACGGCGGCGGTTGCTGTTCTGATTCGCTGGTCTTATAGGACCTTAGCACGATAACTTCCTGACTGTCTACTAGTACAATAAGTTTTGCCTGGCTCTAGTGAGGAAGGGGCGACGACGACGGCGTTCCTCTAACTCACTTCAGTATTTGTAGTCGTCGCTAGGTGTTCTACGGATTTAAATATAATTTTTATTATTTTGATGATGAAAAAAAGATTCTGCAGAAAATGAAGAGAAAAAAACGAAAAATAGAATACCCGCTTCTCCTGCCTTCAGCCACTGTGCGTCTGTGCCCCACCTGGATCCCTCCACCGCCGTCACACGGACACGCCTGCACCACCCATCCGAATCCCGCATCTCTTCCTTCTCTTTCAGCGTGCCACCGCCCGACGTCGTCACTGCGCAAGAAGCATCTCGCCGTCCTGTTGCTTTCTGCGACTGCGCGAGCGATGGCCGTCGCCCAGGCCGCAGCGGTCGTCACGCCGGTGGTGGCCGGGGCGGCGCCATCCATCTCTCCGCGGCCGTCGTCCCGGGGACCGGCCGGAGCCGGAGGCGGGCTGGGGTGGCGCCGCCGGCCGAGGGGGAGCGCCCGCCGCGGCCTGGTCATCGCGGACGCGTTCGGCGGACAGTACGAAGACGGGTTCGGGGACGTGGAATTGGTACGTACGTACGGTGCGCTTGAATGGTCGCTCGACTAACTGGTATCCACATTAAGTCGGTGGGCGCGTACTGATTTGCGCAAAGAAAAGATTGATACGTATATATCAGAGTAGCAGTAGTTTCTGACGAAACGATAGTATTCATGTGTCTCCCCTTTTTCTTTCCGGGGAATATTCATGCGTATCCTCGAGAGCGCAATTGAACCTCTGAACTTGTTTCATATATTCTGTTTTTCGCGTGATTCCCATGAATATTTATAACGAGTAAAACCTTAACACGTTCGCTGATTCTTAGGTGTTTTTTTTGTTTCTAAAAACTAATTCAGATAGAACAGTGTACTATTAAGTCTAAAAAATTGCAATCTTTGAACATGCACTATTATAGTGCAGATTTTGGTTTGTGGGTTACATATGAAGCGACTTTGGACGTGAGAGCAGTTGGATGTTGATCCAAAGGCTTAGAAATATGAACGAGATTTTAAAAGATCCCAAGCAACTTTTAAAATTTACCGAGAAAAAGCAACTTATAAATAGACAATCCCTTTGAAGATAGAGAAAGTCCATGCAAAACATGAAAGCAAATTCAGACGGGGAAATGGCATCTTGCCAAAAATCATACAAGAGTGAGATACAGTCCATAGGAATATCGATGGCCTCATTTTCTTATCCAAAAAGCCTATATATGGAAAAGAAAGTAGGGTGTATCAAAATCCTACAAGATTCTTATGGGAGTTATCTGATCCAAATAGGCCCTTCGAAAGATGGCTTGGATATCCTTTCAAACCAGGCAGCTTAGGTGTAGGCCGTCCCCTCCGTGGTTTGTATCACTATGTCTACGCCATATTTTTCGATAGCCGTCCCCTTTGACATGTCTCCATTTGCAGGAAATCATGAATTACTTCACTTACAAGGCCACACAGACGGTTCTCTATCAGTTGTATGAGATGAATCCGCCGGCATACACTTGGCTTTATAAGTAAGATCTTTTCTCCTTGGCCTCTTGCATGCAAATGGGTTTCCCTGTTGGACAGTTCGAATACTTCAAAATATTTTTTCAAATATTATACTTGTCCTTTGTCAGTTATCTTGTCGTCAATGACGCAAAAGAGGGTATACATTTCCTGCGAGCACTCTCGAAGGTATCATCTTCGTCTCTTGCTCCCCGAGGCTACCGAAACGAAAAACGAGGAAATACAACAGTGCGTTCCTGATCATTTCTTAACCTGTTACGTACATGTATACCAGGAGAGGCAAGACCTGGCAGAGAGGGTGATGGTCACGCGCCTTCACTTATACGGCAGATGGATCAAGGTAAATGCAGGCAGAGAGCCATTTCACCGGTTCTAAGATAAGCATAGGATGCAAAATGCAGAAGAAAAATATTTACCTCTGTTTTTTTTTTCATATGATCAGAAATGCGACCATACGAAAATGTATGAGAGGATTTCGCATGAGAACTTGGAGCTCATGCGTGAGAGGCTAATGGAAACAGTGGTGTGGCCAACTGATGACACGAACTCCAGCGACAAGCAAGATTGACGGTTACATATTGAGTAGGATAAGACTGCTTCACTCGACAATGTACTACACGTGGCAGAATCCCTGCAGATTTTGAGTGTCGATTTGGGTTACTCATTTGTGGATATAACCCTGCATGAATAGAATAGTCGGTGTACATTCTATCGTAGGGGTTTGTGTGAATGTCACTTAATGATTTTTGTCCTGTGAACTCGAAAAAAATATCACAACGTGTGATAATTTTGTTTGTTCATGTTTGACAGTGTGCCTGTGTTCTCTATACTAAGATTTGTATTGAGCATTCAAAAAATATCAGAACGTGCGACATTTTGTTTGCTCATGTTTGACAGTGCCTGTTTTCTCTATACTAAGATTTGTATTGAGCATTCAAAAAATATCAGAACGTGCGGACATTTTGTTTGCTCATGTTTGACAGTGTGCCTGTGTTCTCTATACTAGGATTTGTATTGAGCATTCGGGTTTACTGAACTTCCTTCTCTCTTCCTTTTTTTTACTCTTGGGGATGCACAGCATGAGATTGCTCGATTTAACTAAATATGAAGAAAACAACACGTCATGATCAAGATTGCTAAGGGTAAACGTCATGTCGAAGAGAGCCTTCCTTCAGGCCGAATGTCTGAACCCAGTCGGACGAAGCCTGCCACATATACTATACTTATACAATAACAATACCTGTTGCAATCCGCTGAACCAAGCGGCCGTAATAGCTTCCTGTCTTCGACCATCGGAACAACATTTGGGCGGAGATATCCTCGAGCACTGTGGCCTCTTTTCGTGGTGGTGCCTGCTTTTGTCCCTAATCTTGGCCGGCCATGGCGATGCAAACCAAGCCCCGTCTCACCTGTTGGGAAGCTCGATTCATTGTTCATTATTTTAGAGCTTCAGATAGCTCCACCTCCACCAATGTTAGAGCTCCAAACCTGAGCTGCTCCTCTTCTTGTCTTACATCTGTCTTCTCAGGAATTGGCAGGCCGGCAGTATGACAACCCGAGTAAAATGCAAGGCCATCGAGAGTTGACCAAGTTGATGCCCTCTTGGTTATTTCCAGCAGCATGCATATGTGACAACTTCTAAGCTCTGCAGAAGTTGTTTCTGTTCCTCTTCTTCCTTCCAGGCTTCCACCCCCCACCACGGCCACTGCTCTTTCTCCAGCCATGAGATCGAGAACCACGGGAACTTGCTTCCTGGCTCTCCAGTTCGTGCTATCCTTCACTCTCAATATTGCCAGCGTCAGTCCTCTGTCCTTCAAGCTGAATTTCACCGAATCCAACTATAGTGCGTCCACCGCAATCCAGTTCCAGGAGGACGCCTTCTACAACAAGGGGATCAAGCTCACCAAGGACGAGCTGAAAGGTCAGATCACTAACAGTGTAGGCCGAGCAGTCTACACCAATCCAGTGCTTCTCTGGGATACCACCACTGGTCAGTTAGCCGACTTCTCAACCCACTTCACCTTCAGGATAACTGCCACAAACTTGAGCGCAACCCACGATCCATACGGTGAGGGCCTAGCCTTCTTCCTCTCACCGTACCCTTCGGTGGTTCCCAATAGCTCCACTGGTGGTTTTCTTGGCCTCTTCAGCAATGGGAGTGATCACAATGACCCATCCAATGAGCTCGTGGCTGTTGAGTTCGACAGCCACAATGACACATGGGACCCAAAAGGAGACCATGTGGGCATCGACATCCATTCAATTGTATCCGCAACCAATGTGTTGTGGAATAGTAGCATTAATGATGGTCGCATAGCCAATGCGTGGGTAAGTTACCAGGCCAGCTCCTTGAACTTGAGCGTCTTCTTGACGTACCTGGAGGATCCACAATTCAGTGGCAACTCCACCTTCTCTTATTCAGTTGATCTCAGAAAATACCTCCCAGGCAAAGTGGCCATTGGCTTCTCAGCAGCCACGGGTAGATTTGTTGAGCTCCATGAGATACTTTACTGGGAATTCAATTCTACGGATTTGCAGCTGATGAAGACTGAGAAGATGAGAAGTGTACTGGTCATAAGCTTGGCTACTATAACAAGTGTCGTGGTCTGTTCTATGTGCTTGGTTTGGTGCCTTCTTCATTTTAGGACTAGGAGATCAAGAAATGAGAAACAAAAGAAGCTAGGATACCATGAGTCCATTGATGGTGAATTTGAAAAAGGGAGTGGCCCAAGAAGATTTCGGTACAATGAACTTGTGGCCGCCACAAGGAACTTTGCTTTGGAGAGGAAGCTTGGAGAAGGAGGATTCGGCGCAGTCTACCAGGGCCTTTTGAAGGATCAAAACCTCGATGTTGCCATAAAGCGAGTGGCAAAAGGGTCTACACAGGGAAGGAAGGAGTACATATCTGAGGTCAAGATCATCAGCCGGCTGAGGCATCGCAACCTCGTGCAGCTTGAGGGCTGGTGTCATGAGCACGGAGAGTTCTTGCTTGTCTATGAGTTCATGCCAAACAGGAGCTTGGACACACACCTCTATGATAACAGTAACTTGCTAACATGGCCATTGAGGTTCAAGGTCACCGCAGGTGTTGCATCCGCCCTCCTGTACCTCCACGAGGAATGGGAGCAATGTGTCATTCACCGTGATATCAAACCGAGCAATGTCATGCTTGATTCTGCATTCAATGCCAAGCTTGGTGATTTTGGGCTCGCGCGGCTCATTGACCACGACCGAGCCTCGCAAACTACAGTGTTAGCTGGGACAATGGGTTACATGGCTCCAGAGTGTGTCACCACTGGCAAGGCAAGCAAAGAATCTGATGTCTACAGCTTCGGGATTCTTGCATTGGAGATTGCATGCGGAAGGCGACCAGTTGTGCTAAAGGAAGACGATGACAAGATCGTATTGGTTCAGTGGGTATGGGATCTCTATGGAAGAAACAAGATTCTTAATGCAGTTGACAGCAGGCTTGATGGCGCATTTGAAGATAGAGAGGCAGCATGCTTGATGGTTGTCGGACTCTGGTGTGCACATCCAGATTACAATCTCCGACCTTCAATTCGTCAGGTCATAAGTGTACTGAAGTTTGAAGCACCATTGCCAAACCTTCCCCCAAAGATGCCAGTGGCCATGTACTTTGCACCGCCAATTTCTCTGTGCAGGTTTTCATACACCTCATCTGATGGGACACTCAAGCAGCAGGGGCTGGAGAGGTCCAATGGTTATGGAAAAACAAGCTCATCCACTGCAACCAATGCATCCAGTTCACCTCCTTCTGTGCGGCTGCCAGAGGTGGGCTACTAAGTCTGGCAGTTCCTTTCTATATGTTCAACATTTTAACACTTTCGCTTTTGTTTGGTGCTGATTGTATTAGAATGGCACTAAAGTTAAACAGCAGAGATGTTGTTATTAACTCTGGCTGGATGCTGCCAACAGTTTAATTCAGTTACTACTTGTGTATAGATTGGCTACCTGTAGAACATAAGCAATGAAATGTATCCTGAGTGAGTACCTAGAGTGGTGTTGACAGTTGTTGTCTCGTTCATTTTTATTCAGCAAGACAATTGCGCATTTGTATTTGGATATTTCATCACATGACGATAAAATTTAAAATCAATTCTGGCACTACATCAGGTGAAGGCCTACTCTCACAACCTACTAACCATAAATACAGTGAACAAACACCACTGAGCATATGTCCTTCCTGCTTATCTTCGGTTACCTTTTTGTTGAACTATGTTCCCTTTCACTCTCTCAACTGCGCATTGAGATACTAGATGTAGATGTGTCCTATTTGAATCGACCTTACACCGAACTATTCAAGTGTTGGGACTGTTACCATAATGCAAACATGTTTATACCCCCATAACGAAATGAAGTAATAAACTACGTAATTATATCTGTACCCCATAACAAAAGGGAGCAAATTACCAAATAGATAAACCACTAAAATGAAAAATAGTATGTATAGAATATTGTTTCTGACTCATACCAGAACACCAAACAAAAGATGCGGAACACTGAGTAAATTAAGGTCAAGTAAAATAAGATCTTACATGCCCATATTCGTTATTAATACACAGAGGCACCATGTCATTGAGATATTCACTGGAGGTCCATCATATTGAAGTAATAACAGTATTAAACCACGGTAACGCTGAATAAAACAAACTTGACATGCCCAGGGGTGGAGACAGGACCCGGGCACCTAGGGCCCAGGCCCGGTGCGTGGGAAATTTGTTTTACGCCCAACTACCTAGATTTCAAGTTGGGCCCGGGGTCTAGCCCAGCAAGCACTGTACGCAACCACGGAAGAGGTGGTCTCGTCCTCCGTCCTCCCAGTTTCCTTCGACCCGCGAGGAGCGGCCTCGACCTAACTCGTGCAACGAGCGGCTGCGAACTGGCTCTACTGCTTCCCGGCCAGCCGTCCCTCCCCTCGCACCGGTGCAGTGGTGCTCCCCTCCCGGCTCCCTGCTCCCCGCTCCCCAACGCGTGCCGTGGAGGCCGCCTCTCCTGCGCCGCCGGGGCGTCGCCCCGCCCTTCTGGACAGATTGCTCCGGGCGACTATTGTGTTGACCAGTTTGATTATATGATGGTGAAAACTCGAACACCTTTCTGAAGATTTATTCTTCATACATTCAATGCATTTGCTGGTTCAGACTTCAAACTGATGTGGACACAACGATGTCTAAGATCCGCTCAATTTTTCTGCTTCAAATTGAAACAGATTTAATGTATTCAGTATATGTTCATTTTCTTCACAGGAGCTGTTTGCTTGACCTTGTGCACGGTACCAAAAAGCTGCAGCAGCAGAATTTTTCGTCCGAGGAAATCAATACACTTGAGAAGAACTTCTGACATATTTCTTTCAGGTAAAGCATTACTAATATGTTAAGTACACAAGTGAAGTTTGTTTTCTTTTGACAAAAAGGGTGTAATGCAAAAGGTTAATTCATACTATGTAGCATGTAGCTTTACAGATTTAAGGATCCATAAGCATTGGGTTTAAATTCTAGATCGATTGTGCAATTGAGCCATATTGTATGCTTTCACATGTGGTATTTTTTTGCGTAGATATGAGGTACTTTGAGGGTAGTTATAGGCGGTAAAGATTTTCAATCTCGCCAATATTTTTTGGGCCCGGGTTTTGCTCCAATCCTGGCTCCGCCACTGGACATGCCCAAAGCTCAAACTACAAAATTTGCTATGCCCCGTTGCTTGCGAAGCAACTGTGTAAAATGTCAACAACCATAGAGTTCAGGCAATGTATTATTTTAGGCGAGGGTTCATGAAATTTGGAACTACAATCCAACACTTTGATCATGTACCACGAAATCAACTATAAATTGGGCCAGCAGAAGCACCCGAACAATCGAAACCAGCATACAACTAAATTCTCGTCCTCAGTTGCACAATGTGATACTGTTCCAAGCTCGGAAGAAAGATTTCCTGTTTAATTTTGTCTTCGGTTGCACAATGTCACATCGTTTGCAAGAAACATTTTGTGTTTAACTCTAGCAGTACAGTAGAATCAGCATGGGCATAAGCAAGCAAACATTACATCCATTACCTTTTGGAGAAGCTGCTTCTTTCACTTCTTGTCACGCTGCTTCTTCGCTGTGAAGCGGTAGACCACCGGACCATGGCGCCAGCCTTCGGGGGGTGGATCCTTGTGCAAAACCTCAATGTCGAACACCTTCCTGGCCTTCCCGAAGAATTTCTTATCCGTGCGTTTCCACCTCCTCATGTGCGCCATCAGGAACACCACATCCCCCTTCACGAAGAACCGCAGCGTCTCTATCAGGGGGTCGACCAACTCCTCGTAGTAGACCACGTCCGACGCCACGACGAGGTCAAACCGAGACGCCGGCGCTGGGGCCACCACGGCCCCCATCGCGGCGGCATCGCCCCAGGGGAGCGGCACGACGGAGACGGAGCCACCGCGGGAGTCGAGGAGGGGCGCGTTGAGGGAGGCGTTGTGGCGGAGATTGGGGAGCGCGGCGGGGAGGTCGGAGAGGACGGTGTGCGCCGGGAGGGCCGCCGCCAGGGCGAGGCCCGCGGCGCCGGTCCCGGAGCCGAGCTCCATGATGCTGAGCGGGCAGTGGGCGGTGGGCGGGCGCGGGAGGAGATGCGGGGAGGCTGGGAGGAAGCGGAGGAGCGTGGTGGCGGAGGGCCAGAGCTGGAAGGTGAGCCCGAGGGAAGGGATGGTGCGGACGGTGATGGGGGACGGAAGCGCGGGGAGGTGGAATTGGTGGAGCTGCCCCTCGGATGAGGGGGCGGC